TGGAAGTTGGGGCAGATCCTGTGAGATCTGGGGTCTTCCACTATGAGCAAAGACTGCTCTGACTTAAGCACTGCTGTGGCCTCCCATCAGGCCACCGTGAGCAGCAGAACAGTGAGGTTACTGGGGTAACCTTAGCGGGGCAGCTGCCTAGGGGATCCATTCTGCTCACAGGCACTCAGGCCCAACCTGACACAGGTGCCCTCTCCAGGAGAACCCAAGCTTCCAGGCCTTGTCATGCAAGTAGGGACACTGGACTCAAGATACGTACCTTCTTTGGCACAAGCCAGGCCACCAGATCCCCCGCCAATTACCAGGAGATCGTAGTCCTGCGGCCCTGCTGGGGAAGAGATGAGCAGTGAGAATGAAAGGAGCCAGACCCAGAAGGTCCTCCACTACCTCCAAAGGGCAAGAAGCTCCATCTGGTCAAATACGGTATGGGATCTATTTTCTCAGGATGGGAGACCCCAGAACAAAGTAACTCTATACAGATCTGCACAAATCCAAAAATCCAAGCAAAGTGTACTATGTGATCACCTTTGCAAACCACACTCCTCCTCCATACCCAGCAGGACTTCTCAGAATTTGAAACTTCAGAGTTCTGAGCCAGGTACAGAGCTAAAAATGTTTCCCTTGAATACATACTCCTTTCAGCTATAACAGTGACCCTTTGTTACAGTGAATAAGAATAGTGTAGTCCCTGCCATTTAAAAACCATGTGTCGGGGCTGGTGAGATGGCTCAGTGGTCTAAAGCACCTACTTGGAACAAGCTTGGCAAAGCACAGGGACCGTGGTTCAATCCCCCAGCACCACATGCCAGCCAGCCCCGCCCCCTGGTGGGCTGAGCTGGCCACACACACACACACACATACACACATAAATAAATGTAAAAAAATTAAAAAAAACAAAACAAACAAACAAAAAAAAAAAAAAAACCATGTGTCTCAGGGTTCTGGGAGGGATGCTGGGGAAGGATGCCTTCGGTTTGCCTGGGGAAGGATGCCTTCGGTTTGCCTCCCTGTTTAGGCTCAGTGGGGATGCCAGAGCCCTTCTCCCCTGTAGGAGGCATCATATGTTTACTCTGCAAGCTACTCCTTGGAAAGCAAGCAAGAAACAGCCCCAAACAGGTGAGGTGTGATGGAGACCACTACAAACCAGCCCTGAGCAGGACTTAAATTAACCAACTGGCTTTCCATGTCTACTTGTGAGTCTGTCCAAGGCCTAGGCTCCTTGGCTGGAGATTGGCAGTGGACTCATAGTAAGTGAACTTCTGTGAGTCACTGATCCCTACTGAGGCCTAGAAGGGCAAGTGAAGCCTGAAAGGGTAAGACAAGGTCACAACCATGGATACCTGGATCCAAGCACAACTAGATAAAAACTGTAAGTCATCTCATACCCAGGTAAATGAACTTAATACCTTACATGGAGAAGTCCTTGAGTGGTTCTGCCCTTCTTGAGCACTCCTCTCCCTTCTTCTGATAACTAAATAAATATAGGCCACCCAGAGAAGATCTTGGTCTTAGCCCTGAGAGAATTTCAAATTGTTTGGGAGGGCTTTGATCCTTCTGAAGCCCTGAAATCATTCCATTTGCCTCCTTCATTTAGTTTTCACCTTACACTTGTTTGGGAGACTGGGGACCTGATCAGTCCACAATAATGAAGGGGTACTATTAACCTGATGGGGTGGAGATGGGAGATTGGAGAGAAACAGAGAGAAGTTAAGTGCTCTAAACCAAGCCGGTTGGGGACGCCAAGCTCCGGGCTACTCCTTCATCAAGAAACGATAGAAATAATAAAAAAATGATCAGTCATAGGGACAAGGGAAGGTTGGAGACTCATAACTAGGGCCTGGGGTATAAACAAGCAGTGATATCAGTCCCTCTGTAGACATGAGCCTGCTGAAACTGCCATTCTCCCACGGTATCTGGATGTGGCCATTGCTCCCAGGCAAGGACCAGGAGTCTTGTGACAAAAGCAGGCTTGCCATCCAAGGCTCGGGCATCTAATCTACCAGCATTATTTTTTTTAATCTTTTATTTATTTATTTGGTACAGAGTCTCACTACATGACTCAGTCTCATAGTGATCCTCCTGTCTCAGCCTCCCCAGTGCTGGGATTATAGGCATGAGTCACCATGCCTGGTTTTGGTGGCAGACTCAAGTGTGGGGCTGGCATGGCATGTGGTACCGGAGATCAAACCTGGGTTCTTGCACTTGCCACATAGGCACTTAAACTGCCAAGCTATTTATCCAGCCCTCCAACAGCATTAAAGCCTAGCATCTATTGTGAAAAGGATGCACCTGTCTTGCAGCCACCTAAATCTTCCTGGCCTGGCAAGGATACAGTTACACTGGCACACCCATGACTCTGTGGCATTGGCTGCTCAGTCAGGGCTTGTGAATCACAGGAACACAGACCAAGAGCCCAAAAAAGGCCCGTGGTCTGTAGCTGGCCAGCCACATTGTTGAACCCACCCTAACTGCTATCCAGCAGCTGGCATTCATGCATACAGAACTCGATGGAGTCATACTCAATCCAAAGCATACCCAATTCTACGTTCAACTCAAGGACTATGAAAAGGCCTAACGGCTCTGCAAGTCCAGAGAATCAGTGACGAATGGTAGCAGAAAAAAGCTGTAACTAGAAGCACAAACCTACTGGTCAAGGCCCTCCTCTTTCCTTTCCTGCTACCTGGTAGTAGGCAGGGACCTCAAAGCTTTGCCCCAGCAAACGTTCCTACCTTTCGTTGTAGACATCTGTTTTTTCTGTCACTAGAGAAGGGTTCTCACTGGGATGTTTTGCCCAACAGTACTGCATTGTGCCCACTCTGCCTGCCACCAGGCAATAGGCAGGGCTGGCTGTCATGGACTGCAGACTTATCTTGGGCCATCTGCCCTCTCCCAGGCACACCCAGAACCTTCTCAGCCTTATAAACCACTGGAACACACCCACAGTGGAACAGCTGCAAGTATATCTACTTTTTAGCTCTTGGGAGGGTTTGGAGCCTACAGGTGGGTAACACCGATGCAGCTCTGCAGAAGAGCTGAACAGTGGGTGTTGCCTGGGAGAAACCCTTACATTCTGGTCCTTGCCCACTTCAGCCAGCCTTGCCCTCCCTGGCCACAGGGCTCAGAATGTGTCTCTGCTTTGTTCTGGCCTTCTGATCACATTGTTAATTTTCTGCTCCTTTCTAAATCTAGTGCCTAGTGCAGGGCCAGCAAACAGCAGCCCAGTGCATGTAGTGAAGGTTAAGAAGGCTTCCTGCAAGACACACATCAACAGGCAGGCTGGCCATCGAGGGCAGACACCTCCAGGAGCCTTTGGTGCAGTTGTTATCCTTTCCTGGAGCTCTTGTCAGAAAGGTTTCAGGAGACAGATGATGCTAGTAGTATTGCCATTCTACTTCCTATCCAGAGGCAGCACCACCCACCCCCAAGCTCAGAAGGATAGGTATCTTTTTCCTCCAAAAGAAGCTGTGAGGCTAAAGTGGAGGAAACTCAGAATGGGACTTGGGAGTCAACTTTGGGGATTACACCTTTGTCAGCTTGTCACCTGGGCAAAGATCTAGTCCTCAGGGCTCCCCTTGCTGCCAGCACTCTGTAGGCCTTGGGTCAAAATCCTCAAGGTGGCAGAGCCTCTTGCCAGGCTGAAAAGAAATGTTCTACCCTTAGATTAGTTACCTAAGGGGGCCTAAACTGGTAACCACACCTGCAGCTCTTATTTACTGCCACCAGGTGGAGTGATGACTCCACTAGCACGGATGCATTTGGTCTTGGGTTCCCCCCCCCATCCCAGTACGTTTAAGAAGAGTCAATGGGCCCACACCAATGTAATAAAGAGATTCTAAAAGACAAGGGTCCTTGGCTAGGGTCCCTGTGCTCAGCAAAGTTGCTCCAAGATCAGCCCTCGAGTTTCACCCCCTGGAGCTCTACAGGGCCATCCTCACAGCCACGGTTCCCAAAGCCCATTTATACACTGTCAGGCTGTTCTTCCTAAATTCACAGCTGGCCAAGGGCCAGGCACTTTGTCTCTCAGAACCACCATCTCTGTGAAATCCTGAGCTGTCCTTGCTCACACACCTCCACATTCACTTTTTGCTGGAAGAGTTGAGTTCTGTAACTTACACCTAGAGGGAAGGGTGAGGGCTAGCTGCTACAGGCACAGGCAAGGGACTGGCCACACCAGGGGAACCCACTAAGTAACTGGGTTTGGTATAAACCTTCCTGGCTGATCTGATGCCTAGCCTCTGATGCTCACATCACTTGATGCTATTAATGATTGTACTGATTTGGTCAATGGCCTTTCATGGCTCAGAGACAAATGTATCTTCCCCTTTCCCAGGGTACCCACAGAGTCCCACATGCACTGGGGGCATTGATCCCTTTGATTTCCTCTGGTCAACTCATTCATTTCCTACCTGTGCAAACGCAAGTAAGGAGCACCTGTGGGGTGCAGCCACAGGGCTTTGTGGAGGAGGTGCCTAGTGCCCTCAAGCTGGGACATCATCCTGGTCAGGACCACAGTTAATCCTGGGGTTGGGGGACACAAACTCCCAAATTCTGCAGGTGCAGCCAGTACAGCAGAACTCAGGACAAGAACTGCCTCTCAGCCTCAGTTTCTTTATCTGAGAAAGGGGCTACCTGACTAGAAGCAGGTCTGATCCCTACCCCAAGACATCCATATAAAGACACCAGTGAGCGGTCACCCTCCGCTGGGCACCCGACTCCGTTCCCAGGGACACCCCCACGTGGACACCCCAGTGGGGACACCCCTAAGGCCGTGTGGACACTCTCCAGGTTCCACGGATACCCCCGGGGGGACTCTGTCACCCCGAAACCCGCCCTACCTGCCGCGCCTCCCGCCGCGCCCCGCGCCCCGCCCGCCGAGGCCCAAATCCGCCACCGGAATCGCCTTCCGGGTCTCGGCAGAGCCCTCGCCATCGCCGCCATAGCTGCCGGGCCTCTGAGAGGCTGGGGCTGCCCTCCGCGCTGCCTGCTCCGCCGCGGACGCGCGTTCCGGCCCAAATCACTTCGGAGCGAGGTGAGTGCGCCCGCTGGCGGAGGTGGGGAAGGCATTGCGTTCTTCCCCCCTTGAAGGTCTGTCCTTGGGCCGCGGCCTTAGAACCCTAGGGGCATCCGCCCTGGACTGGGGAATTTGGGCCGGCTGGAAGAGAACCGATCTCGGGGCGCGGCCGGGGGATGGGGGTGGGGGTGGGGGGTCTCCCGGTGTGGGCTGAGAAGCTCAGGATGGGAGTTGGGAGTCTGGGCATGGGTGAAGATTTTACCTGGAGTAGCGGGAATGTCTCGGGACAAAGGTCCCTAGATTTCTTTTGGACAGGGGATTGAAGATCTGTGCTGGAATGGGGGCGGGGGGGGCGTCAGTACTGGAGGGTTGGCCTGCCCTGGAGTAAGACCTGCTGAGGGTGTGGCCTGACCCGCGACGGGGTCCCACTTGGGTCTTGGGCTGGAATTAGAGCTAAAATTTGCCCAAGTCTGCATCTGTGGTGCCCTGGGTGCAGAAGGGTTCGGTAATCTCCCCAACAGGTTTGCTTTTGGAGACCTTGAGGTATACCCGGAGCCTTTTCTTTATACGAAGTGGCTGCCTCATCAGGAAGGGGCCCAGGACCAAACGCCTGGGTGATATGCAGAAGCCTCAATCCTACCTGGGAATGACGCAAAATGAGAAAGTTACCCCAGTCCCCTCCTAACAGATAGCATTTGGGCTTTTTCCAACCACGGATTTTGGTGTCCTCTTGCTGCCCCCCCTTTTTTTTTAAATTTTTTTTTTCTGTTGGCGGAGTCAGGGATTGAACTCAGACCCTTGCCCTTGCCAGGCAAGCACTTATTCAATTGAGCAATCTCCCCAGCCCCTCCTGTTGCTTTTTATTGTGAAACAAGTTCCTCCACACCTGGGGCAGGCGTAGTAGGACTTCACTGAAAACCAGGAGGGGTAGGGAGGAAGGAGGTTACCATGTCAAAGAAAAACACAGCTAGACATGGGGTAAGGTGGAAACAACAGCTTTACTTAGAAACTGCTGACTGTAGGGGAAAGAGCTGAGCTCCATTCCATTTTGTGTAGGGGGAATGAATGAATGTTTCAGAGGAAAAAGGGTAAGAAGTAAAGTCAAGGAAATGAACAGTTACAAAAATTAGGGAGAGTAGGTCCATGGAAAACATATCTAGGTTTTCTTCTAGAGCTTGTAGAAGTCAGACTCCCATCTTCTCTCAGAAGCTGGGAGTCAAGCCTTCTATTTGTAACTGATGGCTGGAATAAACTGATAATCTCTTTTGCAACTGTTACCAGAGGGTATGATCTTTTGAATCTGGTCCAAGACTGGGCCAGTATTGCAAACACACACATTCCTGCACAGGGAAAGTTTTTTTTGTGGGGAAAAGAGGCTTCAGCCAAAGTGGGACTACGACTAAAAGGAGTTAACAGTCTAGATAGTGACCAAGCTGCTGGTTCAAAAAGAACAGATTTTTATGGATATGTTGGAGTGGATTGAAGTCTGCTGTTTTCTATTGGCTAGGGACATGGTTCCAAAAAACCTTTTTGTGAGAGACTTGGACCACTGCATAGTCACAGTAAATTTTTCCTTGAGGCTGCTGAATTTTTGAATAGGATCTGTTACTCTTAGCCTGTGTAAAACATCCTGGCCTTGTGGGTCTGAGCTCTATGATAGGGCCAGAGGACTTTAGGCATTTAGGCTTTTGTAATTGCTAAAGCAACACAAGAATAAAGGGAGGGAAAAGAAAACACACATTGGCTCCAACAGAGCAGTAGGGCAAGTTGACCCTTGTTAAGTCTTGGACTAAACATTTTTATTTTGTTTTGTTTGGTTTTTGGCGGAACTGGGGATTGAACTCAGACCCTTGTGCTTGCCAGGGAAGAGCTTATTCTACCGAGCCATCTCCCTGGCCCCTGGACTAAACATTTTTAGATCATCAACATGACTACATGCACAGCTGTGTAGAATCTGACCCAAGGCTCAAGATGCAGCAAAAGGAAAGACAAACTATGAAAACAGCGATGTCAAAGCTTTTATCCTATTTTAGTCAGCCATCATATTTCTGCAGGCCTAGGTAGTGTTTTTTTAGTGATATGGCTTCGAAGTCTCTGGGAAGTAATTCAATTCACTGTTGTAATCAATGGCAAGAGGCGGAGACCAGCTGAGACCACAAGGCTTGTACAGAGGTAACATGGGGTAGAATTTATTGTGCCTGGGTGCAAGCAGACAAAGGGCAGGCGAAAAAGCCATCCGTAGGGAGCAAAGAGAAGTGGGCTTTTTTTATATGACTTGAAAGAAGGCAAGGGACATCAATGGACAGACAAAATTCTCTGGATGTTTCATGCATTAGTGGGCAAAGTCCTGTGTGAATGTTTAGGTGTATTTAGCTCTAGCTTATCTCTTTTATGACATCCTGTGTTTGCTGAGAGCTGACAACAATATCTCTCCTGGCAGATAGATTGTATAGTGGGGTAGTCATGTTTGAGTGGAGCCCGATAGTCTGATAGCTATTATCATAACCTATACATCAGCTAATATATTTCCTAGCTATATGTCCTCCAAAAATAGTGATTTTAAGTTGACTAAGAGCAAATGAAGCTAGAAGGCTTATTTAGGTTTTTCTTGGTGTCTCATTTTATGTAGATACCAATAGAAAGATACCATTCTACTAAGGGTAATAGTTTACTGTACCCAGGTGTTTGTAGTATTTTTGCTGTCCCAGCTTTCTGTCCCACCACTGTCTCACGTAGTGGTCCCTAATTGACTCACAACTTTGAATTTTCTTAGGTAGGCATTTGGCCAGGGGTGGGGATGGGGGTGCAGTTCAGCCATCATAGGAATGTGACCTTGAAGTGCTAGAAACTGTTTTTGAGTCTTTATTTTTTTTAAATATTTATTTATTTATTTTGTGTGTGTGTGTGGCCAGCTCAGCCCACCAGGGGGCGGGGTTGGCTGGCATGTGGTGCTGGGGGATTGAACTGCAGTCCCTGTGCTTTGCTAAGCTTGTTCTAAGTAGGTGCTTTAGACCACTGAGCCATCTCACCAGCCGCTGTTTTTGAGTCTTTAGAAGGAGCCTGGTCAGATTTTGGTCAAGAGTCTTATTAGTGACCCTGTTGTTCAAGTGAAGAAAAGACATTCTTCTTTCTTCTGAACAATAGGAGCCATCATGAATTCTTTTATTCAAGAAATAATAAAAAGCTGAATTAGGATGAGGCTATTTGCTGGATGTATCAGTGATCTGGCATTTAGGATTTTTTTGGGGGGTGGGCACTCAGGATGCCTTCAGTGCAGGTCTGGTTTGGCTTGAGGATGAGGGGATAGAACCACAGCATCTGAGCCTGACTGCTTTGTTTCAGCAGGCACTTAAACACCTGAGGTAATGGGCAGGCCCCCGATCTGGCATTTAATGAAGGATATTTCTGTGAAACATTTGGAAAAAAACGTTAATGGTTGGAACACTATAAACCCAGTTTTTGAGTCCTGTGGCAGTCCATGGAGATCTCTAAATGTCAATGTCTAGGTGTGTTTTAGACAGTAGAATTGATATAGGGGAATGAAACTCCCAAGGTACCTGGTATCTGAAAGGTACCTGGGATGAGTTCATATTCTCTAAAACCAAAAGAATGAATTTTAGGATCAAACAGGTTAAGAGCAGAATGTTTATTGGGGGAAAGAAAACTCCTGTTCAAGAGAGGGACAAAAGGGGTACCCGAGTGGGTTGTCCTGGGAATGTGCCATTTCCAGGGATTTTTATAGAGCAAAATCATGGGGTGAAGCAGGTCTAAGGTGGAGAACATGGGAACTGGCTTAGGTGGGCATGAGGTGGGACAAAACTATGGTCAACCAATAAGGTTACAAGCACCATTGCTCAGGTAAAATTGATTATTCCAGGACATAACAAGCGGGCAAGAATATAGAACAGGAGTTTATCCAGTAGCCAGCCAGCTGGTAGTGGTTGAATTAGTGATTCTTTCTGGCTTCCTCAAGGTGATGATCCATCCCGGATGCTTACCTTTAGGGAGGTGAGCATTTGCTCAATCTTTGGTGCTTAGGTCTGGCCTCCAGCAGGAGTGTCCGTCTCTTAGAGTTGCAAGGTATCTTCTGTGCTGTCTTCTTGAGGGCCTAGTTGTCCTGTCTGACTGCCTATAACATTTCTATCTAATTCAGCTGCCTACAACAGAATGAGGACAAAAGTCACGATCTGATGGATTTCTGGTTTTTTTTCTGAATGTGTGTGGTGATGGCAGCCTAGATATGTCAGTCACTGTCATGGGTTTTTTTTTTTTGTTGTTGTTGTTGTTTGTTTGTTTTCTGGAGCAGAGAAAGGAATGTGCAGTAATTCTGCAGGACTTCCTGTGTCACTAGTCAGGGCTGCTCCAGGTGTGAAGACTGCCTGTAGACCATTTGGTATGGTGATGAATTCTATGTGGCCTTTCAGCTGCCTGCCACCCAAACGACTATTTCTGATCAGATCTACAGCTAATATGGCTCCCTTTCTCATGGAGGCAGCTGCTTATCTCTGCCATGGCTAGGGATGTAGGTTACTGGTAGAGCTTGCCTAACATATGTAAGGACCTGGGCTCAATCCCCAGCACTGCAAAAAAATAAATAAAAATAGCTGAGTGTCATCTAGGGAATAGTAAAGGTGGGAGAGAAGAGTGCCCAGCTGAGAGCTGTGATGAACTGGCTGCAACACAAAGACAGTCCGGAAGCAGAACGTGTGAGCATGGCTGGAATGCTGACCTCTAGGCATAGTCACATGCCCAAGATTCCAGGCCTCCTCTACCTCCCTCTCCTCCTCCCCCCTTCTCTCCTTCCTCCTCCCCCGATTTCTCTTCCTCTTCTTCTTCCTTTTCTTCCAGCACTGGTTTTTTTTTTTTAATTTTTATTTTTTTACATTTAGTGTGTGTGTGTGTGTGTGTGTGTGTGTGTGTGTGTGTGTGTGTGTGTGTGTGTGTGTGGCCAGCTCAGCCCACCAGGGGGCAGGGCTGGCTGGCATGTGGTGCTGGGGGATCGAACCGCGGCCCCTGTGCTTTGCCGAGCTTGTTCCAAGTAGGTGCTTTAGACCACTGAGCCATCTCTCCAGCC